GAGTTACCAAAGCCAATCGGTCGCGGGTAGCTAGTTGTACAATAAGAAGAAAAGATAGAGGCGGCCGCCAGAATACTAGTAGGCCTACAAGTGGGTGGCACGCACCTTGCACTTTGAGTTGGTGTCTATCGCATGAAATTAAGTTGGTCTTGAATAATTATTAAATAACTTTGCATTGGAATATGTGAAATCAACGTATTCCGCGCGCGCATCTGATCTATATTATTTATTTTATCTATATATCTTTTTTTCAAATATATATATATTAATAATTATATAATATATATATATATATAAATTGATAGTTTATTATATATGTAGTGTGTGGTGTGTGTGTGTGTGTGTGTGTGTGTGTGTGGTGGTGTGTGTGTGTGTGTCTGTGTGTTGTGTGTGTGTGTGTGTGTGTGTGGTGTGTGTGTGTGTGTGTGTTGTGTGTGTGTGTGTGTGTGGGTTGCTGTGTGTGTGTGTGTGACGTGTGTGTGTGTGTGTGTGTGTTTGTGTGTGTGTGTGTGTGTTGTGTATGTGTGTGTGTGTGTGTGTGTGTGTGTGTGTGTGTGTGTGTGTGTGTGTGTGTGTGTGTGTGTGTGAGTGTGTGGTTGTGCGTGCGCGTGCGCGTGTGCGTGTTTGTGTATGTGTGTGTGTCACTGTGTGTGTGTGTGTGTGTGTGTGTGCGTGAGTGTGTGTGTGTGTGCGTGTGTGTGCGTGCGTGCGTGCGTGCGTGCGTGCGTGCGTGCGTGCGTGCGTGCGTGCGTGCGTTCATTCGTTCGTCGGTACGTGTTTTTCGTTAGTTGGTTGGTCATGATTTCTGTCGGTAAATATTTTGTACGGTAGATTTTAATTTAGTGCAATAGATTCCTTTTCCGTGCAAAAGGATTTAACATGTGAAATGCCAGCCGATAGGTGGCGGTAATCATTCCAAAAAAGCAACCATTTGGTGCAACAGCAGCAAAACGGTTTATGCGTAAATTTGAAAAGTTGGAAGTTGTAAATGTAAACAAAAACATTGCATTTGGTAATAATATCAATTATATCATTGATATAGACCACACAGATTCTGTATTCTATACCTATGGTAATATTTTTATTGTATTTTATTGGCGATATCTATTATATTTAGTGAAAATACGTGAAATTAGTGAATACGTGATAGGAAATTAGTGAATACCGGTACGTGATATTTAGTGAAAATTTCGTGTGTGACTTTACTTCTATTATATTACAGCGGCAGTTAATGTAAGCGGACTATAGTACTACTACTAGAGGCTAGAGCTCACAGGCACTTGGACCGTTTCAATAATAAAATGATGGTTAATAAATACAACTTGTCAGTACTACTACAGTACCACTACCAGCAATAGTCTTATTCTTAATGTTTGATTTGACCTAATAACTTAGGCAGTGGCTACGGGTACGGTAGCCGTATCTTAATGTCTCGAGGCTACGGGTACGGGAGTCCATTCGCTTTCATACTTAACGAGACAAAGATGGCGGCGGTCGCGCCAGATTTCGAAATAACGCCTTGGGAAATAAATTCACGATTTCAGAGTTTAGATGAGCTAGAACCCTAACCCTAACCCTAAACCTAACCCTAACCGGCATAACCCCAAACCTAACCCTAACCCTAACGCCAAAAAGGGGCTTCAACGACCGACGGCTACCGTACCCGTAGCCACTGCGAATAACTTCACTTCAACACCGTCCAATACACCGCTGCAACACATACATAGCCCGCACGCCATTGTGCATGCACAAATACACAGTAGGTTAGAGCAGCACTCTAGGCTACTGTGTATTTGTGCATGCACAATGGCGTGCGGGCTATGTGTTGCAGCGGTGTATTGGACGGTGTTGAAGTGAAGTTATTAGGTCAAATCAAACATTAAGACTATTGCTGGTACTGGTACTGGTAGGGCTAGTAGTAGTAGTAGTAGTACTGACAAGTTGTATTTATTAACCATCATTTTATTATTGAAACGGTCCAAGTGCCTGTGCTAGAGCTATACACAGAGTAGACAATTTGACACACAGGCACTTAGGCTGAAGGGGTCGTTGTCGTATATGGAGTAACGGAGGTCACCAGGTGTCGGCGAGTATGTCGCCTACGCCTACTTCCTAACCCTAACACCCTAACCCTAACACTCTAACCCTAACACCCTAACCCTAACACCCTAACCCTAACACCCTCACCCTAACACCCTTACACCCTAACCCTAACCCTAACACCCTAACCCTAACACCCTAACTCTAACACCCTAACCCTAACACCCTAACCATACCAGATAGTTACCTCGGGTACATATTATACGCCATTATGATTATACGACAACGACCCTTTGTGCGGCACTTGGAGCATTTCAATAAAATATAATGCTAAATAAATACGAAATCTATTTACTACCAAAGTCTTAATGTTTCTATACTCGCTTTCACCTATTATTGTCGACAATTTCCTGTAAATGCCATTAAAATGCTCATCTGCAACAAACTCTGGCTGCCTCTTATAGGGGTGTAACGATATACCGGTATATCG